ATAAAATTTTATGAGAATTTTTATGTACTCTTTAAATTATGACGAACTTAAAATTAGTAGTTGCCGAAAACAGTACCTTATTAAAACGTTGACGCAATATTAGCCAATAAATGCCCTCCCAACACAAATATGTATTATGTAAATTATTATGTTGACCACTTTGATTTTTACTTAAACAAGTCCTTCGGACGTTTCATGACCCCTGCAGTACGAAAAAAGTAGTCTCCCGTTTCCGTTTGTCTGTCTGTCTGTCTGTATCTATTTTTATTAGAGACGCAATCTCCGAAACTGCTGGACCGATTCTTGTCAAATTTTGTACTTACGTTAGAAATATCATGTAGATGGTTAAATGCTAGCCAAAATTTGGCTAATCATCCCCACCAACAATTTGATGACGTCATCGCTTAACGTTCAAATTTTCGCAAAAACAATTGCACGGTATAATAACGTTATCTTGGGCTTCATTTATGTTTTTTTGTTTTTTTTAATGTATAGAATTTTCTTTCAACAACAAGAAAGTTAAAACATGTTGTCAGTTTCTTGTTGGGAAAAGAAAACTTCATATATTAAGGAAAAATGGACAAAATATAAGCCCCGCCCACCCACCCCTATTCAATTGTGATGAATAATTTATTCATCATGAGCTGAAGGGCGGAGTTTAGTCTGCAAAATCTTCTTTCTTCTGCAAGAAATTAGCATACGAAATATGTTTTTAAAAGGGTAGATTTTTTTAGAGAAATATTGATGTTACAATTAAACTCCGCCTTTCGGTCTGATTAGGAATGAAAAACTCATCACAATTGAGATCGGGGCGGGTGGGTGGGGCTTAATTTTTGTTTTTTTGTTTGTTTTTTTTAATTTAGTTTTCTTTCAACAACAAGAAAGTTAAAACATGTCAGTTTCTTGTTGGGACAAGAAGACTTCGTATATTAAGAAAAAATGGACAAAATATAAGCCCCGCCCACCCACCCCTTCTCAATTGTGATGAATGTTTTATTCATCATGAGCTGAAGGGCGGAGTTTAGGCTGCAAAATCTTCTCTCTTCTACAAGAAATTAGCATACGAAATATGTTTTTAAAAGGGTAGATTTTTTTAGAGAAATATTGATGTTACAATTAAACTCCGCCTTTCGGTCTGATTAGGAATGAAAAACTCATCACAATTGAGATCAGGGCGGGTGGGTGGGGCTTCATTTTTTTTTTTTTATTGTATAGAGTTTTCTTTCAACAAAAGAAAGTTAAAACATGTTGTCAGTTTCTTGTTGGGAAAAGAAGACTTCGTATATTAAGAAAAAATGGACAAAATATAAGCCCCGCCCACCCACCCCTTCTCAATTGTGATGAATGTTTTATTCATCATGAGCTGAAGGCCGGAGTTTAGTCTGCAAAATCCTCATTTCTCTACAAGAAATTAGCATACGAAATATGTTTTAAAAATGATAATTTTTTTTAGAGAAATATTGATGTTACATTTAAACTCCGCCCTTTGGTCTGATTATGAATGAAAAACTCATCACAATTGAGATCGGGGCGGGTGAATGGGGCTTCGTTTTTGTTTTTTTATTTTTTTTAATGTATAGAGTTTTCTTTCAACAACAAGAAAGTTAAAACATGTCAGTTTCTTGTTGGGAAAAGAAGACTTCGTATATTAAGAAAAAATGGACAAAATATAAGCCCCGCCCACCCACCTCTTCTCAATTGTGATGATAGTTTTATTCAATATGAGCTGAAGGGCGGAGTTTAGTCTGCAAAATTTTCTTTTTTCTACAAGAAATTAGCATACGAAATATGTTTTTAAAAGGGTAGATTTTTTTAGAGAAATATTGATGTTACAATTAAACTCCGCCCTTCGGTCTGATTAGGAATGAAAAACTTATTACAATTGAGATCGGGACGGGTGGGTGGGGCTTAATCTTTGTTTTTTTTTTTTCTAATAAATAGAGTTTTCTTTCAACAACAAGATAGTTAAACATGTTTTCAGTTTCTTGTTGGGAAAAGAAGACGTCGTATATTAAGAAAAAATAGACAAAATATAAGCCCCGCCCACCCACCCCTTCTCAATTATGATGAATACTTTATTCGTCGTGAGCTGAAGGGCGGAGTTTAGTTACAAAATCCTCATTTCTGTACAAGAAATTATCATATGAAATGTTTTTAAAAGGGTGTAGATTTTTTTACAGAAATATTGATGTTTCAATTAAATTCCGCCCTTTGGTCTGATTAAGAATGAAAAACTCATCACAATTGAGATCGTTGGGGCTTAATCTTTGTTTTTTTTTTCTTTATATACGTAGTTTTCTTTCAACTTTGGACTGTAGTCCTAATGTAAGTCACCTTGAATAACTTCTACGTTCTCGTTTTTGTTCGAAAAACTGAAAAGTTTAAAAATTGAAAATTAAAAATTGAAAACTTCCAAAATTTCAAATCGAAAATCTCCAAAATCTAAAAATTTAATGAGTTACATATAGGAAAATTGAAGCAAGAAAAAAAGAGAGCTTGAAAAATTGCAAACAGAAAAATTGTAAAAATTAAAAACTTGAGAAACTCAAATTGAAAAATTGCAAAATCTAGAAATTCAATTGAAAAGTTGAAAAATTGAAAAATTTTAAGTGGAAAACTAGAAAAAATGCAAATCGAAAAAATGAAGGAAAAAAAAATAAAAAATTGGTTTTTACTTTATAGAGGTTATCAGAAAACAAAAATCGCAAAAAAATGGTAATTTTCAGAGAAGTGGGATTTATTTGGCTGCACTTCAGGGGCGAGGGAAGTTCTGTTGAAATAACAATAGACCAATTTTTTTTTACGTATATTCCGTTTTTTGACATCGGCAATATAATTATGATTATTTTTGTGTACTAATAAAATTTTACAACCTAAAAGCTAAAGCTTAAACTTTTATTAAATCTTTAAAGTCTTTATTTATGATATTTCGGTTGAAGTAAGACACTCGTCAAACTTTGAACAGGGACGTATTTGTTTTACTCCATAAGGTGTGTTAAGTTGAGGTTATGTACATACAGTGGTCGAATATTTATCTATTTGTATTTGTAAGTTGGGTACAAAAATAAAACATTTCAGGTTACTACTAGATGTGGAAATGTTTTTTGAACGTATGACGTAGCTAACCTCAAATTATGTATTCTTTTTATCGGAATTGTACACTTTCAGTTAAATTCACGTTAAAACTTTATACCTTTCAGAATTATGTAGTTAATTCTTCAATTTTGAAGTTGAATATTAAAAAAAAATGGTTCAGGGATTTTTTAACCTTTTTTTGTTTCGAGTTCTTTAGAGCCTTCTTAACAACATACAGTCGAGTTTTTCTCTCATTTTTGATCACCCTGTATAATACCTATCATGGCCTTTTTGATTCCAGTCTAAATGAAAATAATTGAACACCGACTAGAAATAAAATATTTCCAACAAAATAAAACGCCAATGTTTTTTAATTATTTATTTCCCGGCGAACGTGTACTTAAATGTTTTCTCCTAAAGTATGAAAAATAGGTCTCCTTTTTCCATCGGTCTTTCCGGTTGTTATCCAGTTTTATTTCTATTTTAAAAATATCGTATAGATGGTAAAATGATAACCAAAATTCATGTGATCATCCACATAACAATTTGATTTTATTAAAAGGGTTATTAAAAAAAAAGCTGTATAATTTTTTTTTTATTTTAAGAACAAAACATTAATTAAATATGTCTGAGTAAACATTCTAAACATAAATAATGTATAACAATGTAAATGAAAATAAATTCTCTTTATGGCTCGAAACTCATGGAAACGCTATTCAAACATGACACTAAGTCGCATACTAGTGAATGTGTGTTACAATACGTGAAAAATGAAAATTACAGCAAATAATTAAATATATAGCGATATACATAAATGTGTTAACACTACTAACATTTTGATAATTTTATAAATTCTCGAAAATGTTGATTAAATTGTATTATACTTCAGACTGGAGGGAAATTCTGTCGAAATCACCTTAGACCAATTTTCTGCAATTGTAATAGGGTCCAATTAAAGATGGCTAATTTCACTTTGTAACGACGTTTCATAGCGTTTAAAATCGGAAAGAGTAGTTCTGCCATTTCCATTTGTCCAGCGCCGATTTTATTACACAAATAATTATCGAAACTATTGGACTGAAATTGTAAATGCATTTTCGGATTATCGTCCAGATCGGAAAACGCTAGCCAAAATCATCCTTACCAAAAACTTGATGACATAGAACAAATCCCTGAAACATAGCCGAAATTATTGAAATATTAGGTTTATTTTATGTCGTATGATAAAATGCTGACCAAAATTTATCTAATCGTGTACCCGCCAACAATTTGATGACGTCATCTCAAAATTTTGCGTAGTAAATCCTACTTAAATTTAATAAAATAATATGCCTCTGTATAATCTCCTCGGCGTGTAGATATTATTTTATAAAAAAAAGGTAAAACATTTTTTAAATTATAAATTACAATACCCACTGCTTTGAAATCTTGCCAAGGATCACGGTAAACCGCTGATTAAAATTGATCGTATCCAAAAACTTGATGGCGTCATCTCAAAACTTTTCTAGATAAGTCTTATCAAAAATGTGCAAAATATTATGTATATAAAAAAGTTGATAACGTCATCACAAAATTTTATTGATCTTTACTAGTCCATCCCTGTTTTTAGTTTATCTTACTTTTTTTTTTAATTAATTTATTAAACTAAACCGGTTTTGTTTAATTGTTCTTCTATGTCAATATCAAGCCGACTAGAGAGCAGATGGATGGTGATCTCATTAAACCAACACCATGAAATTAATTTCTTGTCTTTCTTTTGTCTATACATACTTATTGTAAAGTAAATTACCAGGTGAACTTGAGTTAGTAAGTTTTGCTAATTTAAAAAAATTCAAATAATTTTATTTGTTTTTTTTTTTTTTGCTTTTGTGGTTGTTTGACATTAAATTGTCATCCATTTAATTATAATCCGTTTCTTTTTCTAGGTCTACCAGAAAGAACTCGTCGACACCCGAACCCGCCGCCAAGTCGAAATCAGCGAAATCGACGGTCGCCTGGCCGAAAAGTACGAAGCTAAACTCCAGGAAGCCCTCCAGGAACTCCGCGACCAATATGAAGGCCAAATGGCCAACAACCGCCAAGAGATCGAACTCCTCTACGAGAACAAGATCAAGAACATCCAAGCGGCGGCCAACCGCCACTCGTCGGCAGCCGGCAACGCCCTCGACGAACTCCGTCAAGTCCGAACCCGCATCGACACCCTAAGCTCCCGAATTTCCGAACTAGAGGGCGAGAACTCCGGTCTCCAGATGCGCTGCAGAGACCTAGAGAAACTGCTCGAGAACGAGCGCATGCGCCACGCCGAAGACTTAGCAGCTCTCGAGAACGACCTGGCTCGCCTGCGCGAAGAAATGGCCAACCAGCTGCAAGAATACCAAGACCTGATGGACATCAAAGTGTCCCTCGACACCGAGATCGCCGCCTACAGGAAGCTGCTGGAGTCGGAAGAGGCCAGACTCAACATCACGCCCCACGGTTCGCCGGAGACTTCGCAGCACGTCGGGCGGGCGGGCTCCCAGAGACGGACTCCGGTCAGAGCTGGCGCTAAGCGCAAGCGCACTCTGTTGGAGGAGTCGCACGAGCAGAGTTTGTCGGACTTCAGCGTCAACAGTTCCTCCAAGGGGGAGATCGAGGTCGCCGAGGCCGACTCCGAGGGCAAGTTCGTCAAGCTCCACAATAAGACCAACCAGGAGGTGTCTCTGGGCGGGTGGACCGTCGTGAGGAAGGCCGGCGATAACGAGACCCTCTTCAAGTTCCATCGTTCGCTCAAGATCGAGCCGAACGGCCACGTGACGGTGTGGTCTTCCGACCAGAATAAGGAGCACGACCCTCCGACGAACGTGGTGATGAAGGGCCAGAAGTGGATGGTTGCCGACAACATGACCACCACCGTGTTCAATAATAACGGGGACGAAGTGGCGGTGTCTGAAAGGTTAGTGCATTCTACTGGTTATTCGAGGTTTTTTAGGAGGTAAAATGATGGTGATGCGATGGGATGACAGTGAAAAGTATATTTTTTAACTTTTTATTATTAACGGAGTTTATTTAGAGGTTGTTGTGTAAGTGCACCTAATAGATGAATAGCACTTTTGGTCAAGATTTGGTTTCTGGGTGCGAGTTTCGAGGGTTCTTGGGAAAAGGCGGTTAGAGTGGGTGCGAATTTGAGGAAAGTTGTGGCTGCAGTATGAGTTCTGAGTTCTGTATAGCTGAACAGAAAGAGGGATTTCTTTTAAATTCCAAAAATTTGCGAATGACTTAAGAAAAATCGCAACTGGAGTATCAGACCCAAGAAAGTGGATTCTAAATACTTAATTAGAGAAATGAAAGGTACAAAAGCTGTGGTATCATTACGGTCAAGTTCTTTGACATTTAAAAAGATTTGACAATGTTTTATTTAACCTCACTCGAGTTAGCTCTTAAAATACGAAAAAAAAACTACGCCCATGAATTTTCCAAAATATATGCTAGAGAGTGGGCAAATAGAAATGACCTGTTCCTATTAATATTTGTAATACCAATTTTCAAAACAAGTAAATTGGTCAGTGCTGCCAACTTACGTTATTTATGGACCCTGCGTCATTTTTATCCGTCAACCGTGGTGGAAATTACCTCCACCATACCCACAACAATAATTATTAATTCCGGTCAAGATTTGCCACCCCAAGGATATTAGTTGCTGTAATTGTACTTTTTACATAGTCTGACCCCCTAGGTACCTTTGTAAAAAAAATTAGCAGATTTTTTTCTGGATTTAAGTGTGTTTGTTGGTAGGGTAAAAGTAATTTCCACCAAAATGGATAGATTGAGTTATCATGATTTATGCTAAGGTCTTGATCCCACAACTGCCCACCCAAAAATGGAGAGTATTAAATTCGTCATGAAAATTGTTATAGTTTTGTCAAAATAAATTTCATAATTAAGATTGTGTTTAATAAATTTTGCTCGTCCTAATTTTTACATTAATCCCAAAATAGTTTTTATTGTGTAGGGTTAAATAAAAGGAAACACCAAAGTGGATAAAATTGAAAACAAGTCAAAGTTGCCCACAGGAGATTCATTTTTCGATTTGTTTTTTTTATGCATCTTAATAAATTTGTAAAGAAAAATATCAAAAATCATATAATTAATAATATTTTAATTAACGTTAGCAGAAGAAAATTTTAATTGAATTGATTTTTGGCTATTTATTTTCGTTTTAAAATTTAAATTTTCGCCTTAGTAGAATTCTTTTCATTTTGGCAAGGTGTTGTAAAACGGTATGTTTCTATTTTTATCTTCATCCGACACACTGTACACTGGTATCATTTCCACCTGTAAAATGCTAAGAAGTGCGAGCCAAAATTAAAATAATTGTAAATTAGATTAATTTAATCCAGTTTTTTCTAATTTTTTGTGCACATTTATTTCTTGTTGTACTTTTTCAATTTCAGTAACATATGTCGTATTAATACTTCATGGAATGCTGCATTCTACTTAGCACAGCTTTTTAGTCACCGAAATGAATATGACAATTCTTATTCTATATAATTGAGAAAAAAAGGTGTCGAGCAACCTTTGAAATTTAATTTTAAAAAATTACGTTGGCAACACCGGCGTGTTCCTTGTTCGTCTTAATCAGTTTCACATTGAAAAATTTAAATTATCATTTTGGATGTTTTTATAAGATCCAACTCTACATCTATTTAATTAGAACTTCTATACACTTATTTCTTTGACTAAAAGTTGTGATTTTTTTCTGCTTGTTTTGAATTTTGTAGCTTTTCGAAAGAGTTTATAAATTAGTACATCAGATTTAAATGCTAAAAAGTAGGTTTTTAAAATTTCAGAGAATTAATTAATCTCCAGTTTTTACAACAAAGAAAAGCTTTTTTAGATACAGCAGTGTTTGTTATGAACAAATGTTGAATGCAATTATTTATTTTTCACATCGTGAGTCGGATTAAAGTATTTAGCAATTTTGGTGCAAATACAGAAAGTATTCTCGAATTTAAGTATTTAGAGTTCATTTTTGTTAATGGGTTGTTTTAAAAAAGATGAAATATTTTTGAAGAAAACAGACTTTTGGGGTTTCAATGAGTTGAATGAAACTGGATATACGATAAATTCAGGAGGATAACTATTACGACCATTTGAAAGAACACAGTCAAAGAAGAAAAGAAAAACTGGGAGAAAATGGAGAAAAATTTCTACATGGTGTCTACGAAATTTGAAAAGGAAATTTGTGCGTTCCAGGAATTGAGTGACGGAGGCACAAATCATCAAAATTTTGAGAAATAGAAAAATTAGAAGGACGGAAATCCTTTTTTTTGTGAAATTTCGATCTTGAGTTGACCCGCTAATCCAATATAGAAAGCGAAGACAGTGATGATCTTCAGTTATAACCTGCCCATACTTTTCCTAAGGCAAACATTCTATTTATCAACATTGTGTTTGTATTGCATTTATAGGTATTTAAGTATTTTTTGAAAGTATTAGTAAAAAATTCTAAACACATTGCTAAATATGGTGGTTTTTCACTGTGCCACGGTTTTCAACAGAGTAAATTAAGAATAAAACTAAGAAAATCTATACAAGATGAGAACTAAAATGTGCGTATAGAATAAATTAGGAGCTCTATGTTTCACTAATTAGGCTGCTTATTTTTGTTTTCAGTGTTCTAGTTCGTTAAATTTTCGTTAATAAAATCTTCTATTTTCAAAAATTATCGTTTTAACGTCTAAACTGAAAGAAAGTTATTCAAATTTTTGGTCCTTCATGAACTGAAAGTTTTCAGAAAAAATGATCTGACTATTGTGTCTCCTTTTTAATTTGTGGTAAGTAGTTTTTATGATCCACTACATTAATTTTTTTATAATGGGGCTAGTATGTTATGGATCTTTAGCATATTGCGCAGTTGAGCATTTGTTGTCATATTTCCAGAAACTTAAATAAATGCTTGATTTATTTAATCTGTGGAGAATGAAGCTCCCAATGTATTCTATATGCATCCTTTAGAGATTTTTTTAAGTGGGTGGTGGGTTAATTATAAAAAATGTACTTAGATAATTCTATATAAATAAACCCAGAACTTGTGTAGTAAGGTTTTGATTTTTCTTATAAATATTATTTTAATTATATTGTTAATATTAAGTAAAATATAGAAATTAAAAATTGAATTTCGTTAATAACGAAATAATGTATATTTATTCATATTTAATTACATATCTACAGTCAGATAACCTAGTTTATTTAATAAATATCATCCGAAACTCACTTCTTTAGACAAGATAACATCTATAGAGAATACCAATTCTACAAAAAGATTTTTTTCCGACGGAAAGAAAGAGTAGTTAACGCATTTTGACACGAAAATCATTTTCTTTGTAATGTATGTTCAAATTTTGAATTTTCATAGCGCTTGCCTAAAATTTTGTTGACTTGACGGAGTTGTCATCAATCACTCAGTTCTGCCATTGCCATTGTACAAAAATTACTAGATGTATAGGGGAAATTTTGTTACCAACACAACGTGGTGGATTAAAAAAAAACGTATTTTAGAATTGTGATTATTGTAAAATCAGTAAACCTAAGCCACTTCGTAAATAAATCATCCAATAAAATCGACTTACAGATTTTATAAATTCGGTATTTTTGAGTGTCATTCCATTTCTGCAAATTATTCAGTGCTGAATTTTGATTCTTATGAATTAAACATCATTTTTAAGTGTCAACTGTCGCAAAAACAATACTTTTTATAGAACTGGTAGTTTCCTACAAGGTGAGGTAAAATTAATAGGTTAGTAATTTATGCTTTCTTGGTTAATTTTTACGAAATTTTTGTTATTTCGAGATATTGATTCAGAAAACGAGTGATTGATCTAATCTAAAATATTTGCTAGAGAAATAAGATATCACTAAAATCGTGATGGATTTTAAATACAGACATTTTTTTAAGTTCATTTGTTTACTTTATGTGACCGACAATCGTTGATTCGCGTTGGTAGAACTGCAAAACTTGCAAATCTGGTATGGATTGACAGCAGCAAACTTGAGAGACTACTGGTTTTGGGACGAACAGAAAGTGGTGGGTAGCTGACCCGACTTGAGTCCATAACAGGAAAAACACGCCAAAAAGAGCGCATAAGCTCAGATATTTTAATACAAAGTACTGTAGAAAGGAGCGTGGGGTGGCTTGTTGGTAACAGGTTAGAAAATCTGAGATAAACCAGAGAAACCAAATCTTTACAGCCTAGTATAAAACTAATCTTTGTAAACCACATACATATATTTATCTATACTATATTTTGTATTAATATGTTTTAAGAGTATTATTTTATGACTACTATTTAAAATAATAAATATATATATTATAACTAAATAAAAAGTTTAGCAAACGAATGTTTATTTTAACAGTCACCATCTAACATTCACTCATAAAGTCTGTACACGTCCAGAGTGTGTGACGGCGGCAGCAGCAGAAGGTGACATCATTAAACCCCTCATAACCTCAACTCTGCGCCTCCTCTGACCGATGTGTTTTGTTTTTAGAGTAAAAAGGCAGCTGTCGAGCTCACTTTTAAGGCACAGAGAAATGGCGGGCGGCTTTTTGGGGTCCGAGGAGCTCCACCACCAATACGGCGACCCACAAGGGGAAGAGAAGTGCCGAATCATGTAAAGTTAAAGTAAATATCAAATGTACCTACCTAGCATTCAGATGAACGAAGCCGTGTTTGTTTTGCTGTGCGGCAATTTGTTCCTTCCTCTTGAAGCCTAACAAACACGGTTCTCCGTACTTACGCCCTTTTTCCTCATCAGATTGGATTTTTTCGTCGAAACGAAAAAGTTGGATTTGGTAGTTTTGAGATTTTTATTTGACGGGGGGTGTTGTGGCGGTCAAATGAACGTGTCGACGGAAGGGGGATTAAGGAGCGAAATGAGTGTTTTATTTTGTTCACTAAAAGAGAAACTGTCTTCAAATATTTCGATTATGTTTTGTTAAGAGAGAACTTTTTGTATAATGAGACTTTTTATATATTTTTAATTTATATAAGTATTAGAGATTTTTAAGATTTCTTCAAGTTTCTATTTTCATGAAGTTTGGAGGAGTTAGAAACGAACTTAAAGTAGTCATTTTTCTTTTATATTAAAACAATAGCATTTTTTATACCAAGGAATTGTAATTCCAGGTTTAGATGTAAGTAAATAGTAAAAAATTTTTGTATTTCTTCTGTGTTCAAATAAATTTCTTTAATCTAGGTTGTTTTTTTATTTTGATTTAGAATTTCTTGTGCCTTACTGTATCGTTTCTAGTACTACTATGTAAGTAATGTGCATGTTTTAAGCTTTAAGGTCAGCAATTAAAGTACTGTAGGTATCTAAAAATCCATGTTTTCACAATTTTAAAAACGAAATAAAATATATTTTCACCAACGACTTGTTTTATTTAAACTTTAGAACTGTGCAGTCGGTGACGTCAAGGCCTGAACTGTCTCCAGACTAGAACGACATTTTTAAGTCATGATCTCACTCAGTTTATTTATAACTTACGTCATTGAACGTCACCCACTTGCTTTCACTTTCAGTGTGATTCAGTGTCGTATGCAAATCAGTGTTGCCAATACATACACAGCGCGCAACAAAAACTAATCGTACTGGAAAATTATTTATTTTTTATGTACATTAGGAAATATGATATTTGTATCTTACAACTCATTGAGTTGGTAATTAAAACGACCTGATATACAAACCTTACATTAAAATAATTTAGAAATTATAAATATCGATGTTTCAGTTTTTAATTAAAAGTAGAAGATACCTGCATTGAATCAGTCATCAAAATAACCAGAGTGCATGCGCTAGCCTCTATTTTATACTTGTAATTTAACGTTTGTTTTTGGTTTAAAATATTTTAATTTCACTTGGCTTGTCTTTCAACTTTAACAGTTCTAAAAATTAGTGCACATCTCACTTGCGCAAATACCCTTCGTTTCATTTACTTAATCTGTATATACAATATATTCAGGATCAGTTACTTCAACTTGTACGAACTGTGATTGCAACATTTGCATATTATTTGTATTGCGGGCCATATTATTTCTAGACCTACAAATATAAAACATTTGTGACAACGTAATTTCAAAATGTCGATACTTACTTCGCTTTTGCGTGCGTCAGAATATGACTTTTTAAATTGGTTGATTGTGCGAATTTCTTATTACAACCGTCGAAGGGGCACACATATGGCCTATCACCCGTATGAATCCTAACATGAGTTCTGAAAAAAAAAAAACACTTTTAAGTCCCAACGAAACGAATCCACCCATTTATAGCCACTGGAAATATAAACACCAATCAAATAAGTTATTCTGATCACGTGATTAATCCTTCGCGCCTTATTGGCGGTTATCTTTGTACGCAAGGCCCGGTTAGCCTTGAAAATTAATCACGTGACTGTATCGACGTAACAGGATTGCAACATGTTCTTAAATATTGCGCAAGATGTTGAAAAACACGACCTTGAACAGCAGTGCGTCAGCTCTCAGCTAAATTGGAATTCAAGGTTCGTTTAGCCTTGGATGATGAGTCACCCGATCACGTGAAGTGTGTTGCAACATTGGGCAATATTGTGCAACGTTGTGAAATGTTTTATTTTTGTTATTTTACGCAAATTTGTAGCACATTAATGGAAAATGGAAGGGAAATGTGATAAACTGAAACAAAGAAATAAAAAACGGAAACTAACGTGGAAAATAGATTTGGGGAAGCTCACGTAATGAAAATGATCTACATGACAGTAAAGTTAATAATAAGTAGTTTGGCGGTTACGATCAACTAACTGTCAAATAAAATGTCCATTAGCTGCAATATCTACATTATTATTTTAAAAATACATTTTATGGGCTACTAGAGGGCTCTTTTTTCATACGGGATAAACAACAACAAGGATAGATACTGAACGAGATGATAATTGGAAAAACACAAAGATAAATACCTTCGTGAAGTAGTAAGTACGAAAGAAGGATCAATAGTAGCCACCTTTGAAATTTACTGTTAAAAAAATTATGTTGGCAACACCAAGGCGTTCCTGGTTCAATTTGACGGTTATGGGTAATAAAGTGTCAAACAACTGCAATGCCAACATCATTAATTTACAAATAAATGTCATGGCCTACTAGACGACTTTTTTAATAGTACGGTAGATTTAACATTTGGTTGTCATAAGGACCTTTTGCTGAATATACACATGCCAAAATATTTAATTCATTCTGAAATCAAAAAGCCACCACCTGGAAATTCAGTTTAAAAACAGATCTTGATTGTATAATTAAATTATTTTAAGATTGGCACTACAACGTTTGAGAACGTCTTTCCACCGATTGTCAAAAAATGGAAAGAACCGTCAATGAACAACGAAATGAAACATAACCTTAAATTATTTCACGCGGAATAATAAATCACTATTTTAAAATTGATTGTGACAAGGTTGCCAATTATATTTTCGAAAAAGTTCCAGTGTGTGTAGACTTTTCATTCTGGAAAAAATAATACAGATTACAACAACCACAAATATGAAAACTTTATGATCACAAAAAGACGACTGAGAAAAATCAGACTGCTTAGTGGGACGAAGAGATAAAAAACGAAATTAAGAACAAAAAAAAACTGCCAAATCTCTGCATTGCCAACATCATTATTTTAAAAATAAATTTCGTGAAATAAAGTTGCAGAAAAAACTTAGCCACAAAGTGGATTCGCAATAACAACATACACTTGATTTGTCAAGACTTTGAAACTTTAGCCACTACATTCAAATGTCAAAACAGAATGACACAACTGACAGATACAATGTGGATTTGAACATTCCCTTGACATTGTGGTGCTCACCCAAATTTTTACCACACCGATTTGTGGTTAAACTCACGTCATTTAGTCATTTACAGCCTATAATACACGAATCCTTTGAAAATTTGGACGTAAATGACATTTGTTTGTCATTTAGTTTTGTCTACGACTTTATTAGCGACTTTTTTTGATCATATGATCTGACTTATAGATACCAAAACCTATAATTAATTCCAAAATAAAAAATCCACCAACATATAGTTCATTAACCAAATTTGTATGATTTTAAAAGATTACCCATGTGAATAAATGACATGAGTGTCAATTTTTCAAGCTACTAGATTGTCATCAATGAATATGAATTTTTCGTGTACAGTAGCGGTCATTTCTACGGAACCACTCGATAAAAAGTCAAGTTGGTAGCCCTGTCACCTAGTACTTTACGCCGAACGCGGTTGGTAGCGGTAGTTGACATGGCAATCGAAACTAGCACAACACGAATGTTTCGGTTGCCCTCAGCTATGCCGCACTGTATCCCGTGCAGACTGTATGTTCTGTTCATCTATTTATTAAAATAAAATATCTACATTGACAATGGGGCCATCTAACCTGTCAAATTTTTGACACATATGTTTTCCCCCAGAAACCCGTCAAGGTCACTTACACCAAACAAATTTTGAAAATTTACACTAGGGAGTGGTTCTATAGAAAAGATCGCGACTTTATTTTATATAATAACTTTTTTAAGTATTTATTTTAGAAACATTGGTTGCCTTTGATTTTTAGAAAAAATCAGTCTTTCCATTTATGAAAAAATATACCTAGTGTTCCATAAAAAATATACAGTTGATGTCATTTCCGGTTCTAGCGGAAGTGATAATATAAATGTGAGATTGCCATCACATAGATCTTTTAAAATGATACATTTGCTCAAAGAACTACAGGTTTATCTTTAGGAATAAAATGTTACAGGGGTTGTATCAAATAAACGAAACACCCTGTATATATAGTTTAAGTATGCTAAGATTGGCATTAAATTGTCGATGAAAATGAAAAAACCTCGAACTATTGCACTCTGGAATAAATTACCAAAACTTACACTGGCAACGTTGCCAGTTGTATTTTTGAAGAAATTCTGGTGGTGGTAGATTTTTAATTTTGGAATACTACACAGGTTACACCAAACAGAAATACAAAATCTACAACAAATCTTACAAAAATTAAAAAACTTGGAAACTGAGGAATTCTAAATTATACTAAGAAGAAACAGACTAGTGGGGTGAATAGATATAAAACGAAATTAAGAAGAAAAAAATGTGTCAAATCTCAGCAATGCCAACATCAATATTTTAAAAATAAATTTGATGGACCAAAGTTGCAGAAAAATCTTAACCACAAAGTGGATTCGCAATGATGACCTACACTTGATTTGTCAAGATTTTGAAATATTTAAATATCAAAACCGAATGACACAACTGAAGAAATTCTGGTGGTGGTAGATTTTTAATTTTGGAATTATACACAGGTTACAACAAACATAAATGCAAAATAAATGCAAGTATGCAAAGAATTAATACCTAAAATCTACAACAAATCTTATATGATATGATATATATGATCAAAAAACACGACTAAAAAGAAATAGACTTCTTAGTGGAGTGAAGAGATAAAAAACTAAGTTAGAAAAAGTGAAAAAGTATTTTGAGGATAAGTGAAATCAAAAATTAAACGAAGATAAAATGGCAAAGGAGGGAGTGAAAAATTCGGATGAAAATGTCAAGGAAAACTAAAAAATGTTACATGATACACTGAAACGCTGTTGTAAAAAAAATATCTTGTGAAAAACGTAAAAGCAGCCAGATAATAACACAAAAGAAAAAAATACTAGAAAATATGGTCGAAATATCTTACGCCTTTTGAAGCTAAATAAAGCAGAGGACATTGGAAGAAAATAAAGCACAAAATTATAGAACCAAGCGAACGGCAACGAGAAGCTATACAACTTTGCGAAGTAAAAAACACCATACAAAAATTCCACATAGGAAAGCCAAAAGAAATTGATGAAAACAGGTTACAGACAAAGATACTTAATGCATCCAAAGGAGTAAGTCAGGGAAGTATACTAATTCATTGTTTATTACAATTCGCAAGTCAATAAGGAATCGAAAGGGTGCAATTTTGATACAGAAAACTAAAAGCTATAAAGATAAATAAACACAAAGAACAGGGACGAACAACCGAAAAATTAATACGAACAAAACCAAAATACTGAGTTGCGGATAGACAGATACAGAATTGCAAAAACAAAAAATACTACGAGTAAATCAACTAAAATACCTTAGTGTCTACATTGCAGAAACACGTACAATGGAAGATGAAATTAATCGAATCTGCAAAGTAAATGATACATAGAGAGCGCTGCACAAAATATTCTTCACAGAATGGGAAATATCAAAGAAGACAAAAATTAAGATTTATAAAACAGTGTTAACGCCAATCGTAAGAAAGGAAAGTAAACAGCTTATTCATAGATTCGTTTCTTAATGTGTAGTTAAGTGCTACTTAAAGTCTATTGGCTTAACCCAACGAAAGCACGTCAGTCGCTCACTCAATGACTTCATCAGTTCAAGAAGTATCATGCATGTTTGGAATTTTAAATAGATGTGCCCAAAGGAAGCTAGAATTTTCTGTGCGACATACTTTGTGATATAACCTAACATTTTAATTCTTTTTTTTTTTTTTGGTTGGTAATAGTAAATCAAACGAAATGAAATGATTAAATAAAATCATTGCTATTTTTAGTACAAAAAAAAGAAAAGTGTAAGTAACATTAGATATCAACAGTTTGAAAGAAAACTCGTTTATTATAAGAAACAAAGGAAAATTATGTAGTCTGCAAAAAATATATACATTTTGCAAGATATTTACAAAACAGATTACGACGTATTTGATAACGCTACATAGATAAGGTACAAAGGAAATAAAAACTGAATTTCGTAAACATAAATATCAAATATTTAATATGAATCAGCTTTTGTAAGACTGGAAACCGAATATATTTACACAAATGACGTTTCAAATAAAAATAGAGAAATGTTGGTACAAACATGTACCTAGATAACTAAAATTTGCTGTTTTTATTTACACGTAGAGATCGATCGATATTCTGATAATTTGTCATTAGTACATGAAACAAAATTTTCTGCCACCAATTTATTACATGAAAACCCGTTTTTAGAGCCAATAACAATATCTACCAATTTCTCAAAATTAGTTGAACATCAGTATGAATACAGTAACGAAGTAAAAAGTACCAACAACCTTAATGAACGAATACTGCAAAAATTAATGTCTGCTATTAGTGTATATATTAATATTATTTAAATTAAGATTATCATTCTTCTATTTGTAGTACTCAATCAACAAAACTGACTTTTCAAATTAGTCCAAAAGAAAAAATCGAGTGGATGTAAATCAGGTGACCTGGGTGGTATCTACCAAAAAGGTTTGATTTAAATAATAATATCCTTGAGTCACAAAAATGGTGTTTTGGATGTTCTTTCAGCAAAAACTGTAGTTCGCCCCCTCCAAGTAACCTCCGGTACCTGACACTGGAATTTGGAACAGAAGCAGTCCAGTTACCAATAAAACACACAGTATATTAAATAGACAATTTAAGTAACCCGTTTTTATTCTGAAACGAAATAAATCACAACTATATAGCGAAACCATGAAAAACATCTAGGGAAACCTTTAATATACGTAGTAACCAAAAATCAGAATCAAAAACTTCCTACTACAAGGGTTGCCCAATGTTGTCACATGACAACTACCTAAACTATAACCAAAATCACCCTCACCGAAAATAAAAAAGCTACAATCTCACGCATGCTTACCTTAAATTAAAATCGAGACTAAACCGCTTCCCACATCCTTCGAAAGTGCACTGAAATGGTTTCTCCCCAGTATGTACTAACTGATGCCGTTTAAGTTTACTAGATTCTACAAAAGCTTTCCCACACTCCGCACACACATGCACACGCGGTCCATGTGTGTGAAGGTGTTTGCGCATGGCGGAATTGTCACGGAACATTTTATTGCAACCTTTATGTGGACAAGCTGAAAAAACAAGATATATTCGTTTAAAGTCGCTTTTATGCTGTTGGTGCTCACCAATCGTTCGGTCGGTTGTGTCTTGGTTGGGCCTACGTACTCGTGGACTTTTTAAACCAGGTCTAGCGAATTCTGCTAATTGCTTTGGGTCCGATAGATCTAGACCTGGAATACCATCAGCTGGGATCTTTTTGCCACTCATGTATTCCGTGTAGTCGGGATCGGGTTCGGGGTTCGAGCCTTCATCTGAAAGGGAAGAGAAGCAGGATTAATTTAATGATAATCAAAACAAAATCACATTTAAAAGATTTTGGCAAAGGTTTGGGGGCGAAATTTAACCTAGTTTCTTTGTTACCGCATCGACAGGCGTATTTTCGAGTTACAGTGCAGTGTTGGTGGATCTTTAATGCGGATTCAAAAATGCGCTATTTAACTAAATTAGACTATTATTACGATGAAATTGAAAACAAAAAATCTCCATACTTTTGTTTATCTATTTCTGAATGGAAATTAATTGAAAGAAATATTTTATTTTTGGAAAACGCAATAATTTTCTTCGATAAACAAACAATTCACATCAGTTATCGACACCAAAATTCTTTCTGATAAGCCGTTTAGTGACAGTAGTTCAAAAACGTGTAACAAAATTGCTGATTAACTTTGGTTTTTGTTCTTTCTATACCATAATACAAGGTGATCAACAGTTATTGTTACAGTGGGTATAAAAAAATGTTGCTTGAAATTGGTAAACTTGTCAACCCACTTAGTTTCTACTGCCAAAACTAACATGGTTGATAGAGACATTTAATTTACATCATAACAACATTTGTTATTGACTATTATTAAAATGTCATCCATAACTCATAACCAAACTTTCTTATCTTTTTCATAGCTTCACCTTATATTGTCCTTCATATGTTTAATTCTCTTATCAGCAATAGTGACTTATTTCAGACTATTTTTTTATTTTTGGATTTTTTATAATTAGTAATAATTAGGTACTGGCTAGTCCGAATATTGAAATTGTTTTCCCATCTCTGTCAAATATCGTATTGTCATTTACCGAAATTGACAAATACCAGTTATTAACTGCAAATTCTTGTTGTCATATTTAGTTTATTGTTGTAAATATGTTGTGTCAATAACTGTGAAACTTTTATGGTTTTTAAAATTATATTTAAAAGTAAATGCATATTTTAATGTCCAATATAAGAAAAAATATGGAGTTTTGACGATTGGTTGTCTACTTTCAGAGTATCAATTCACATCCAAACTATATTAAATTTTGCTTATACATTATTTGAAAATGTTTTTCACAAATTTCGAACTACAAGAATTGAAGATGTTGATAAGTACAGAGCGGATCTTTGGGTAAATGCTTTTTCATTTCTAAGTAGGCTTTCATATATAAATTTATTAAAAAATACTCTCATTTAAGTTCTACTTGTTTTTGCTTAATTGCCGATTTTTCCGTATTAGTGCTTGTTTACCCACTATACATATTGCTTAAAATGTAATTGTATAGTGCCTAAATTAGGAAATACGACAGAGTATTTTAATAATAAACATGAAAATTTTGGTCAATTTTCGACCATTTTCAAAACTTAAGGCTGGTGTCTGGTTCGGTTTAGCCCTATACTAAATACATTGAAAACATCATCGCGGTTTCCGGAGTTGCATTTTAAAAATATGAGATATATCGCTTTAAAAAAATTATATTTCGAATTAACAAACTTCAGTCCAGGGGACCTCCATATTTATATTCATATCAAGTATGCATTTACAAAAAAAATTATAAAGTTGAACAACTTTTACATCACATTTTAACCGACACATTGATGCATTTTTTGACGAAGTGCTGAAGTTTTTTGCATTCTGAGATAGGAGGTCCCCTGGGGAAAAGTGTCAGCTTTCTTTTGATACCATTTATAATATTAAAAAATCCACGAATGAGGTAAATAACTCGCGAAAAGTCAAAATCTATTGAAACGAGAAATCGGCATTAAACGAGCTGTGATGCGGTAGCAGAATGCAGGTTTACTTAGATTCTGACTTGGTTGGAGATTTCAGTATTTTAAAAATGCAATTCCGGAAACTACGACGATGTTTTCAATGTATTTAGTATTGGGCGAAACCGAACCAGACGCCACCATTAAACATTTTCTTATAGTGTGCCCATTGGAATATCGTATTTTTTGGACCAAAAAAATATATTTTGAAATACAATATTTCCAAAATTTTGCACCAGCACTAGCTATATTTTTGGAATCAGCACGTCGAAATCTATAATGTTGCTTTTTTGCGAATTTTTTAACTTCTTCAAAAGGAAGATTTTTCAATCCTACAAGAATTTGGGCAATTTTCGACCATTTTTGAAACATAACCAAAGGCATTTTCTTATACAGATCGACCTACAAAAGTTAGTGTTGGCCTCATTTCTTCGACAACTTATACCACTTTTTCAGAATCGCCCATTGGAATATTGCCAGTTTTTGGATTAAAATATGTATATTTTCAAAGTGAATATTTCTATAATCTTTCCCCGGGACCGTAAACACGCTATATTTTTGGAATCAGCAAATGGAAGTCTATAACCCTGCATTTTTTGTGATTTTTCTAAATTTTTCAATACCTATTCCTTCGAAAATTTCGCCAAATTGTGACAATTTTCGAAAGATATTTTCATAGTTTTCAACTTATTGAAGTTAGTAACAGCCTCATTCGAACATAACCTCTATCATTACATTGTTAGCGGGAAAATAAATAGCCTCATTTATTAATTTTTTTCTGAGTCACCCTATATAAGCAGTTCTGAAAAATATGAATGCATAGATAAAGATTTGATGTAGGCTCACAATATTGTGCACATTTTAGGTAGGATTTATTCGGTAACATTTTGAGATGACGTCAACAATTTTTTGATTAATTTATCAGCTTGGCATAACTTTAAAACGTAAAGTGTTTTAAAGTTAAATTGTAAAATGACTAGGGTAAAAAATTAAGACGGATTCATAAACCACAAATGTAAGAACATGTACATTTACAAAATTTAAATAACATTTACTATGCAAAATTTTAATGTAACGTCACATTGTTGGTGGGGCTGATTAGACAAAGATTAGTTAGCATTTTCTTATCTATACGATATTCTTAATACCTGTTTCTAACACATATAAATTTGGCAACAAACAGTACGGTAGTTTCGGAGATTATCTGTCTAATAAAAATCCAAACGGCGCCAGACAGACGAAAACGGAAGACCTATTTTTTCAAACAGTAGGGGTCATGAACCGGTGAGGAAACACGAAAGTAGCCTAATGCCGCTACTCGGGGAGTAAAAGCAAATAACATAATTAATTTTACTACAAAAAGTTATTCCCGAAAGTGTCCTTTTTGTCTTTTTTGGAGCATTTTCTGGTTTTTAAATAGGTAATTTTTGGATTTTTTAGAATCTTAAGCTTCAAAGTGCAACCTTAAAATTAGAAAAATTAGATTGCTCTAGGTTCCTACACCTTTAATAAACGAATAATTATAATGTCAAATTGTCACTGGTGAAAAATTAACATGGATTTAAAAAATCTACAATGGCAGCAGTGTAATGAATAATGTTAGTTAATGATAACTTTTGACGAGCATCAAAATGTCAACTGAATTTAAATGATGAACAATGAATACAATATAAATAACCTTAAAAGTATTTTTTATCAAAATAACTGGATTTAGGGTATAGTAAGCCAAAAATTATTTGAAAGCCCGAACAGTCAAGAAAATTGTAAATTTTTTATAAAATCAATGGTGAACAAACTTTATCTCTTAAAAAATGAGTTCATCACGCAAAATTTTATGTAAACGTGCGTGGCTTTCTCATAGAATGTATGGTCCGAGATTTATCCTTTGTTAAGTTTCACATTTTTCTATAAAAATTAAAAGAAATAACACTAAGAAAATTGAAAATGCAGCTATACTTAAGAGTAAAATTAAAATTGCCGTATATGAAAACACACACAGTAAAGGAAGCGGGCAAATCAATAAAGACTAGTGTTTACGTACAAAATTTGCTCCTAAATCACTTGTAACAAAGAACATAGGAAAATTTGTCAATTACATTGATTTTATTAGGTTTCACACAAGTATTTAATTAATTACTTAATTAATTAGTAATAAGTAATTACTTCTTTTCTGTGGCGCCATCTTTCGCAAAGAGACGAAGTACAACGTTAAAATGTCAGTTTCGCCAAAATATGACCTCATATTCTCAGTATTTTTCACAATCTCTTATGACAAGGTTTCATAATTTTCTCATTTGTAGGTTGAAATTTTCACTTTTTGAAATTTCTCTACAAACTAGTACAAACTCATGCGCTACTCATGAATCTGTAGATAATCGCATTACTACCAAAATAAATAAATAAATAAAAATTTAGTTGAAGATCAACTGTTGAAATTATCAGTAAACTTGTAAAGTCACTAAAAGCCACACCTACACATGTAGATTAAGATTATTCATAATTAAATAATCTGTTGTTCCCATTCCCATTAGTTCATGAATGTATGTATTTCAAAAATTCGAGGCAGAACTAAAGTATGGACATTTCTAACAGTTCAAAAACGTTCATTGAGCAAAGTTATGCTGAAATTTTAGAAAACCGAAATTGTGTCGAAATTTTGAAATGCTTCAAAGAAGTGTGCATTTACATATGAATCCCAAATTGCTTCAAATTTGGTAGTTTTCTTCGTTTAGCTGTGATTTTACTGTAGCATAATGTTTCATATCACTAGAAATGCGATATTTCAACATTTTTGAATAGAAACGACGATAAAAACTACGCAACACAATCACATTGAAACATGAGACCGTGTAATGACTTTGCCTGTATAAACTGAATTAAAATGCCAACAATTGTTCATGATTTTGCAGTTCTGTCTATTTATAAACTAGATATAAAGGTTGTGGCTTTCGACTTTTTTGAAAGCCACTTTAGTATTTTCATCTGAATGGACAGGCTAAAATAATGTTTTCTATTTAAAAGTTTCTAGATAAAATTATGGAAAAGGTGTTGCTAAATTATTTAGAGCCCGTAAAAGTTAGAATTGTGTGAAATTTTCACCTGAACTTCATAATTTATCGCGATAAATTCAAATTTCCCGCCACTCGCGCTCGACTCGCTCCAACCTCCCCATCTTCCGCCATACTCTTCCACCATAATAACAATCATCGGCCATGACAAAATATGGCAGAAAATGCAGTGATGGCCGCCCCACAGCCTCCGCGTCATGCATCCGCGCTCGCCGCCCCCCGAAATCGCGCTCTCGTCCCCCTCGAGCGTCCCAAAGTGCCCCCATGCATGTTCCCAGCGCCCTTGACGTCTCAGCTCGTACTTCCGGTCGCGAAAAGTGTCGTTCGTCGATGGGACAGGGTGACTTACCGTCGCTGGCACCAGACGCCCACATTGTTACCGAAAACTCCCCTTCCATGGTTTTGATTTGCACCTGCTTCTGCTCCCATTTCCGGGGCTTGGTCTCCACGTGCATGTCGCTAAGCAACATCTCGTTGTCGGCGCGGCGGTGGCCCAGGATGCCGCCGCCGCTGCGGCCCTTCGTCGGCGACCGCCGTTTCTTCGAGGGCCCCGGCGACGACTCCACGTACAGGTCGGACGCGTCCGGCACCGGGACGTCGTAGATGTTGAGCGGGTCGCCAGAATCGTCGATGATCTCCTCCTGCGCCTCGAGAATTATGTCTCGGCCCTCCAGCGGCTGCATGGAGATCATGGGCTCGCCGCATTCTACGATCGTCTCGACTGTGTCCGAGATATCGACCGGAATCGACTCGATTTCAACGCATTCTTGGATGTCGGGCTGGATCTCCACCTCGCACATGATATTCTGGTGGTCCGCCATGACGATGCTTCCTATTTTGTTTATAAAAGATGGTCGCGACAATATGGCGAACTCACTACACAACAATGGCGGACGTGCACACTGATCGCCGCGACCGCTACAATCAAGTTCAAGGAAAATGGGGCTAGTTACGACGTGACGAGAGGCGGTGGGTTTGTTTGGCTGTGTTGGGCTCTAGAGGGACGTGCGTCGGGGATTGCTCCGGCGGCCGGGAGGGCGGGCGCCATCTGTGGGCCGGAGCGGAAAGGCGGCGAGGCTGGAACCTGCAGCGAGGCGCGGGGTGTTTTTAAATTCCTTTCGTCGCGATAGCTTATTTGTTTACACTTGGAAATCTACACTACTGAGCTAAGAAGCAAAAATATAAGTATTATGTATACACCGTTTTAATTTAATTTTTTTCTTTTTTAGTTAAAAGGAAAAAAGAACAACCATCAGATGAACACAAGGACGCCTTTGGAAAACAAAACGATTAAAGTATACAAGTAACGATTTTGCGATTACATAATTAGCTAGAGGAAAAATATACATAAAGTAGGTACTGTATCTTCTATGCAGGATAATTCACAAGTAATATAAGCCAAACAAAATTGGTAACAAAACCCAGAATACATTTCCAAGTAATTCGTAGACGTATTTATTTATTTATCAAAAACATAAACATAATAATTTTGGCAAAAACATCCATTTTCAGATTTACAACAAAAATTTATTCATTTGATTGTGTATTGTCGATGAGTTTTGAGCGCCACAAAAAAAAAGTATTAAAGAAATATGCACATATTTTTAGTCAAAATATGCACCATTTGATTAAAAATATGAAGAAACATGCATATGGAAATACTTAATTTGAATAAGTGTAATAAAACAAAATGACATTTTAATTATTTATTGTTGAAATATATGTCTCGTGACGGTTATTTGCAATATAAGAATTCATATAACCAAATTAAGTATGTAAGAAAATGCTCTTTACACAGTATTTGTCTCTTAGTAGCTATATTTTTTGTTAAACCAATTGATTATTATTAAATGTTTTTCAAAATTTTCCATTAGAAATGATTCGCGCTTGTTATACAAGTTTCAATATTGAAAACGATTTTTCAACATCGACAGAATTTATTGGAGCAAATTTTAAATTCTCTATCAAGTGTATCGATCTACAGATTTACAAATTCTCGTCCCAAAATTTTACTCACAAGCGACAAGGTATTAAAACCTACATTTTTTTCTAAAACAGACTTAAATTTCTGAAAAACTTTTTCAGCTATTTTACCTTAAACATTGGATCGTTTCTGAAAACAATTTGTTACTACCTAAATAGAATCTACCAGTGGTAAATTGTTGCGTTCAAGTTTTAAAATTGTATAAGCAACAATGGAAAAATTAGCCGAAATAAATGGTAGTTGAGATGACAGTTCTGTTTTACCAAAAATTATTTTAGATTCTTTCATTAGCTTTTCAGCGCATTAACAAAATTCTTAGTTAATTTAGTTTTTGGTATAAAATACAACTGCATTTAACCATGTTCCCACCTATAGTTACAACAGGTTGTGGAGGTAATAGTAAATTGGGCAATGCATGTGGATAAAATTGTACCCTCAAAGGTGATTTAACAAATTTTTTTTTAACATTATTGGCTAAATCATCTACTATTGGAAATAAATTTCTAATTTCCTCAGCCACTCTATTTATATCATGAGCTAAGCATGTAATGTGGATTAAGCGAGGAAAAATGTAATGGTGTTATCATTACGTCTTTTCTAAACCTTTTGTGCTAATCAAATATAAAGTGCCACATTTTTCAGTGGTCGAAATTCCAATCAACAAATTTGCGACGTAAAGTCCACATGAATTGTGGATAATGTGACTAATAGCCTTGTTTTTTGAAATACTTTGTCCACGTAGTTTTTTCTTAAGGTACCCTTATCGGGAACTAACTTCATGGTACGCTTTTTAAGAAATGATCCTAGCTTGGGGTTATTCATTTTCGATAAAGGAATATCGACACTTTCGAAACTACATTCTTGTTGATCTGTCATCTTCTGGGTGTTGGAGAAAGATTCTACGAGCAGAGTTTGGGACTTTAAGGTAGTAGAATCCTTCAGCTTATTTTTGTGAAGGCTTGTCCCAATATGCTGAGTTATCGAAAACTTTTTTTCACAGACGACCTGAACAATAAATTTTATTCTTACATTAAATCATGTTTTACTTCTTGCGTTTAATTGAAAGCAATAAGATATCCATAAATTAAACCAATTGTTTGAAATTGGAACTAATAAAGTAAATGTGGCAAATTCAAAAATATAGCAATGATAAAAATTTCGATAAGTACCTTATTTACCTTTTTACAGCACACTCTGCAAAAAACAAATTGAAAATTTTCATGTAACATTAGTTCGGGATATTATATATTTTATCCTGTCGTGGACACTTGCAGAAACTTTTGTCATTATGAATTCGATTTATTAGTTTTTCCAGGTAAGGGTATTTGCTGAATAAATATGGTACAATTTTGAAAATTTTACAAAAATACGCATAAATATAGGTAGGACTTCATCGGTAAATATGCAGTTATATTGAAAAATGAAAAAATTCCATTGTTTTTTCTCTGAATATGCCTCATTCTAAGGAATATAATTTTGCATATAATTCGAGCCTTAATTGACCCTTTTCCTGTAAGCAAAGTGAGTAGAGATTATATAAATTCCAGTGATACAGAGTGAGACAACATCGCGCAGGCGAAGTCAGATTTTTGGAGCGCCAAGTTAAAATTAACCAATGAGCGACAGGTTACGCATGTGTTTCCGGTTGCATTCTGTCAAAGCGGTTTGTCGTCACAGACCTTTGCCACAGCATAGATATCAATCAGTAGAGACAGCTCGTGTCGGCGCCTTTGTTCTTTCTGACCCGAATTTTAAGCCGTCATGGGTGGTCGTTGCCTAAACTATTCCTAGATGTCGCCACTCAATTTAAAAAGTATCACTTCATTTACAATTTCAAAAATTGATTCGTGTACGCAATTTATTGCAAACTGTCTAGTTTGCTCAAATCGTATAATCGTGAATCGCAATAAGAAAAAAGAAAAGTTGATATTTAATTTATAAATACGATGATTTGCAATATTTAACACTGCATATGGCACTAACAATAGTTCTAGGTTTTTTCTTAATTGATCCATCCATTTTAAACGTGAACGATTCAAAATAGGAATAAGCACTAAATTAACTAAAAAAATTAGGTATCTCTGTAACACACGTAAATACGTTATGAACAGCAGGAAAACATTTATTTTATGCCGAAATTGACAATCGGTCCCCAGTCCAACCTGGACCACACCCGGAAGTCATGAATGTTAATCCGGAAATGGTACACTTTGTAATGGACTGTAGGTAAAGGAGTATTTTATGAGGACTAAATATTTTTCGAGAATAGACTCTTTTAGTTATTAAAGAAAGTATCCATCTTATTTATATATGTAGAAAACTAAAAAAAAGTAGAGAAATAAATAGACAGGCATGATAATGTAATTATGGTAATTACTTTATACAAGACTAAATATAAAAATAAGAACAGCACCTGTTAAATTGTTTAATAATTTCAAAAATTTTACGAAAAAAACGCATTTTACCTAACAACTTAACCCGTAAGCGTAATATCACATAAAGTAAAATTTTTATTTAAAAAAAATTATTACAAAAAAAATACATATTTGTCGACTCGCATAAAGTGCAGGTAATTGGTATGGGTCGATGCAGGTAAGAATAATTAAGGAATTCATGAAACCGGAAGTCCATAGGGATTAAGCGAAAAAAGATATTTGACAAAATGTACGGCTTATATATATATATACATGATGAATAAAAAAATTGTTTATTGAGTGAAGGTCTGCTTATATAATTTTTTGTTACGTGTAGTTTGTTTCTTATTATTTTTATATTTAATTTTACCACAACAACGGAATCATATATAATAAATTTTTATTATTTATTTCATAACCACCGTTGTTGTTCGTTTGCGACGACTTTTTAAACAAAAAGTGTGTTATGTTTACTATCTTTTCGAAGAATTCCAAACACGAGGGAGAGAATAAGGCGCACAACAGGGATCCTGTATGAAAATTCATCGGACAAAGATTTTACCTTTTATTGTGAAAATTACATTTTTATGCTATTTGTACAATTCTACCGGAAAAGCAGTCTTAAACAAGCAGAACTGGCAAAAATATTGTAACAAAACTGCCAAATTTCAAATATTTTAGACTAGTGTCCCTCTACAGGGACACTATTTTAGACGTCAGTTGGGCGCCCTCATTCGGTCATAATGCGAACGACCACCCACGAAAACGGGTCACGAAAAACGGCGAGCCGTCTCTACTGATTGTTATCTATACTGTGCCTTTGCTCTGCTGCCGGCATGCCGGATATTATTTCCAACGTGGTTTTGAAGATGCGTGCGCACGAAAAGTCACTACGGAAGTTTTACGATCTTACAGGAAAAGGGTCAATATCCCTATACAGGCTGGTCCACAAAAATAAGGAGCCTGTATAAATTTGAGACGCAACCCAAAATACATTTTCCCCACTATCTTGGATCATGGCCGACTAGTATAAAGATTATGGCCTGTCCAAAGGAATGCCAAAGGTACCATACGTGCTGCCATCTATTAATAATTCAAAAACGACAAAAGAATTATTAACACTTTTTGAAAGGCACAAAGGCATTCATACCGAAACAAACCACCATTACACGTTTTGAAGTCCCATAATGTCAAGTCAAATTAAAATTTTGCTAAATTATTAAGTGTAATTATTAAGAGATGGCAACACGTATCGTACCTCTTGGACAGGCCATAATCTTTATACTAGTCGGCCATGCTTGGATATTATTTAATTACAATTGTAGCATTAAACATAGTAACCTTAATACTTGTCAAAAGTTTTGACAAAAACTTCAAATTCAAAGATAAAAACACGTTTTGTAGAGTATGAAAAAGTAGGTTTCGAGCTTCCGTCTGTCTGTTGTCTGTGTTAATTTTAATTACACAAACAATCTCCCAAACTATCTATCGGACCTTTTTATTATCACATTGTATATGTAGCTATTTTAAGAATACTCAGTGGGTGGTAAAATGCTGACCAAAATTTGTCTAAGCATCCCCACTAACGTTTGTTTGTTTTTGCGTTAAGATTTTGTCTAAATTTTATAATAATAAATAATAATAAGTTTTATTTCCAACAGGTTCTGCACCCACTTATAGGAAATAATAATAAAATAAAATTATATATGACAGACAGAATACATTAGTTATTTAGAAACTATTATAAATAAAATTAAAAAAAAATTATAAAGAGAAACCGGACTAAACTATACAAAAATTAAGTGAGACTTCCTAAATTTAAAGACTAAATTCTTCAATAACCACAGCTTAACGAACTCGCGTTGTCAAAATTAAAATCAAACTTCCTACATATTTGGTTAAAGTAATGAGTAATGACACATTAAAGATATGGGAGATTTATACATGGTGTAACGGGCGATAAATTTACTTATTTTTGGAGATGTTGGTATGAATCAGAACAATCGTCATTGTCGTAAAAATCAAGGTTGTCCTTGTGAAACTTGGATTTTATGATTTCACACCATTCTAATCAAGGTTTATAATTTCACAGTTAAATATTGGCGCCGTTTGGCTGGACACGATGTCTTTGTCCAGTTTTATAATTTCATGGTTTAAATTTGTTAATTTTAACAAAAAGCACATTTTGCCACTAAAAATCTTCATATTACAGTTAATTAAACCTAATTTGGTGGAAACACAAATACTTTTACGACTCCCCAAATAAACTGGTAACTTGTAAACAATTTTGCGAAAACAACTCCTTTGGAGGGGTCTTTAGTTATAAAAGTTCGAAAGATCCAAAAACGATCAGAGTCCTCTAGCCAGTTGCCTGTTAGTGTGTGTTTGTGTTGTGACACAAAGGGGTAAGTGTTAAAATCTCCAACAATGTGCACGATTTCATAAAAAGTTCAAAGTTTTGTTTTTCTTAATATTTTTAACGTTCAGTTTAAATTTGATGATAAATCGCCCTTTGTATTCTCGATTGGATAACGTTTTGAGATTTATATCTATTTTTAAAGATTAATTTGCATTGAAATTATTAGTTAAACAGTTATATTGTTTGATGAACGCTGACCACGCAACTACTATAATGTTCCTTACCAAATTTTTGAGTTGTTACCAAATTTTTGAGTTGTTACAAATGTTTGAGTTGTTACCAAATTTTGAGTTATGGTACCAATTTTAAGTTTTGTTATATTTTTGTTTTAGATTTTTTTAAATGTTTGTTTTACTATGCTTTCAAAGATTTAGTTTCAAAGTTATAAGGTTTTCTTGAATTTATTTAAAAATGTTTTAATACTGAAGTTCATTTTCTGATAATTATATTTGCATATTAAACTATACTACAATTTATTGTTATTCCAAATTATTCTCATATGACTAAATCTCTTTTGTACATACTCATTTCTAAATTAAATATAATTATTCATTTAAGCAAAATGCATATACTTGAAGTAATCCCTTTGTCCAGTCACTAGAATGTGTTACCATCATCACGAACCAGCCTACGAACAAATAAATAATATTTTCACTATATGTCGGGCACAAGGCCCACGATGAGAGTTTTACAGTTTTATATATAATAAATTAACAAAAGTTAATTTTGAAAATCTCCCAAGCCCGTCACAATGGCATTGGTTCTATTGAACGAACTATAAAAAGTATAAACATGGCGTGTGCCCTGACGCGGAATAGTAAAATTTACTTCACTTAAATGATGAACAGTTAATTTTATAATTAACTAAATTATACAGAAATCGCAGTAGTATTCTTCTTGTACTCAACGGGTTAATATTAAACCTAGAAAGTGAAGTCCCGTGATCAAACCTCTTGCAGGATACGAACTATCTAAGAGTAACACACTATAATTTTAAAAATGATCTTTGAACTGATTCAATGATGAATCAGTCCAAAGATAAAATGATTTTATGAAATAATATGCCTAGTCCTGTACTGGCGGTTTATAAATTCGTTTTGATTTTTATCACAATTTTTTTTGTGCAGTATTATCTATACGATTCACGTAACCGATGTTTCGCTTCTGCATCAAATGCTTTGTAGTGTGTGTAGAACTGACTATTACTTCTAAATAAAATTTTGCGAAACCAAATTTTACAATTTTACGAAAAAACTTTCTTAAGTAACATTTGACTATTTTTCATTTTTCCAGATTTTTAAGAGGAGGCCAATTTTCTGTAAAAAGTATGACTTTATTTTTGATCAGTTGAAAAATAAATCTATATGAAACCTATGAGAATGTATTTTGAAATTTTAAATTACATTTTCGTCTTGGTTAGGCTGTATGCTTAAGGTAGTATAGTTGGTTGCATATTACCTCAAAAATTTCATGAGAAACGTATTTGTTTTAAAATTTATAACTTTTATTGCAGTGAGTTCATTAATTATTTATTATCTTGATAAAATATAAGTCCCTACATGTGTCGACAATTGCAAATATGTCATTTCTCTGACTACTGAAATTAATATTAATTGTTCGACAATGATGCTATTTTCCTAAAATAGAAAACCTTTAATAACTTGTGGCTGTTTACTATATTTTGGAAAAAATTTGCCCATGTCTACCTTTGGAACGATGGAAAAATTGATTAATTTTATTTGAACAAATTAATCTCCACACGGGTCTACAAGGAAAATTTTGAATGCATCGTATGATTTTTTTTTTATATGAAAACGGTAGAATGATTACTCCGGGTAAGAATGCCAAAATTTACATTGGATTACATAAATATAGGTCTTATCAAAGTAATAAATATGTTCTTTCTAATCTTTGAAATTTTGATTCTAAAAATATTATGTTTTAGTTATTTATTTTATAATACGTTGATACAGAAAAATTCAAACCTCTGTTAGATAGCACTACTACTACTAACTACTAATAATAACGAAACACAAACAAGCGATTTTCTCAAAACACAACGGAATTTCCCAACTCTGCAAAAGGAGTAGCATTCTTATTTTTTACAGCTCGGTAGTATTCCATACAGGGACATTAAACTCTAACGTGGTAAAATGCCACCAATCTGTTAAAATATTTTCTACCAAAACGTTAAAATGTAACGCCTGTATACCCACCTTTCCCCTACATTAAATATTAATCGAAATTCGCCAAAAATTTGGTAATACCGAGTGTCCAAGCGTAATGTTTGCACGATAATATTTCTGTAACTTTTTTGAAAAACAAAAACCGTTGTTATTGTATTTTTTTTATTTTAAAATCAATCTACAAAAATTCAGTAAGAAAAATTAAAATAAACTGTGAGCTCTATTACCCACATACTAACAAAAGTGATAAAACTGGGTGCGACATTAAAAACTGCAGTAGCAGAATTAAAATAAGTTTTTAGAAAATTTCATGTTTTAAATATTTTAAACTGCACGAGTTCTTTAGACAAAATTGGCTATGCTTCGACAGCAACAATTTATTTGAAAAAGGGAAACAAGCTTCTCTAGAAATTTACTTTAAATTACTACCGTGTATGAACGAAAAAAAGTCCGCTAGTGCGCTATGAAATTTATTTTTAAAACAATGATGTTGGCAACACCAAAGCGTTCCTTGTTTGGTTTGACAATTTTTCTCACGTGGTTGCAATGACAACTTTATTCTTCTAAAAATAAATTTCATGGCCTACTATATAGATGATTCCGTCGAATCCTGCTAATCTGGATCGTGAAAGACTTTTATAGTTAGAAAAGTGTCTGAATATGTACGTTGCCAAATTTACGATTAATAAGTAGCACACACCACTGTAAAATTATCGTCTTATTTTGAAAGTTTGAATAAAGTTGCACCTGCATTAAAATTCAAAGTAATTATTGAAGTAAATAAAAATATCTTACCAAGTTTCACATACTTTATGCATAAAAAGAAATAGTTATATTTGACAACCACCATTGGATTTTTTGAACACAATACATTGTGCACACAATAATAAAAAAATAATGCTAACGTATCACATATATTTGTTTACACTTGAAATAATTCTATAACTGTAAACATGATGATTTAGCATAAAACCACAGTACAAAACTGTGGGTGTACACACAATCACAATTTGCCGTATTCTTAAATTTTACATATTTATTTATTGCAGTCAGCCTATCTTCGTCTTACAGTTATGTATTTGTTTTAAAATAAAATAAATATTGGATTTACAAAATTCGTAAAATTAAATACTGCAATAAATTCTTATTACAAATATTTTTAATGATGGTGACTTATAGTAAGAAGAAGAGGAGTGAGACAACCCACAACTAAGCATACTAATTCGACAGTTTTCAACGATTGAGAAGTCTGTATTTTCCCAGTCTCTAAACTTTGTAATTTGGAGTAGGAATGATGAGAATTTTGGGTGAGTTCAGCTAATACGTGAACCGTTGCTACGTAGAGGAATGTTCCAGCAGAGAATAACATGGCGATACCTGGAAAAACGAGGAGTGATGAATTGTTAGTTTATATCCAATAAACATTGATAACGTTGTAAGATTACAAATGATAGAAATACAGAATATTCTATTAGTCATATCATTCTCTACACACGAGTTAGAAGTATTAATTGCAATAATTAATGTATATCCCGTTCAGAAAATGAGTGACGTCATGTCATTACGGCGCCAACTTTTAAAATCTTAAGATGAGGTTATTAACTGTATGCATAAAAAATTAAAGCATAAAGGACAAAAAAATACTTCTCAGTAAAAAATTATTTTTTTGAGACGTTTTGTGAACGGAATAAATAAAAATACCTACCAGTTGCATTTAAGGAACTTAACGTTTCTTTCCCTTTTTGCCCAATTCCAAAATAAGTACAAAGTGTCAAAATGGGGGCTGCTAGAGAAAACATCAACAAGTGTTTTCGTATCCTTTGCCTATAAAAAAAAAACAGGTAATGTCTACATACATTACTTAACACATTCAGAACCTGTCAATTCCTTCATGTAATAAGAATGTGACTAGACCAAAAGCCGCTGGAGCTTTATGTAACATGATTGCTAGGAACACTATAATTTCTACATCAGCGTGACTTGTAGTGGCTGCTGCCCCCAGAGCAACGCCATCGGCGGCTGCATGAACTATTAAGCCGATTGTAGCTGTAATATTACGTTCAGAAGGGTTAAGATTCTCATTTTTACTTTGTGAAATCTAAAAGCGACAATCCTTTTTTAACAAAAACATGCATAATTATTTTATTTGGAAGACTTACTTGATCTACCATTAACATGAAAATAAAACCTAAAACTAAACTAATCCCTATCACAGACAGGTTATCTTTTTCATGGTGACCTTCTTGCTGTGGGTGGACATCTTTGGGGGCTTCTTCATGCAGTAAAGCACGAACGCCTTCTGGTATAATCACAGCTAAGGCGGTTCCAACTAATAGCCCCGCTCCAAAAGCGGTTATCCGTTTTAGTTTGTCCTGCAACAGGGTGTAGGAAGTTACATTTTTAATTAGTTTTTTTTTACCTCGGAAAAACTGAAAAACAGTGGTATTGAACCAGCGAGAAATGAGCCTATTAGCATAACCACAATTAATGATATTAACATAAAAGTTTCTTCCATTTTTGTACTAAGTACTACCTATTACTAACGTATGGATTGTAAACGTTACTTTTATAAATATTTTTAAAATGCATACGTATCACTGGATTTCCTACTTTCAACACAAACAACAAACGTCACATACGTGCTAACCACATAACCTAAAACTGTCAACGTCAGTTGGTTCGAATGACAAATTGATGCAGGGTTGCCAGATGACGAATGTCAAATTGTCGCTACCACAAATATATAAAAAATATAGAGCAAGTATCTCTATTAAATCTTTATGAAAGTAGCTAATTTAAAATGCCTTTTTGTTCGCTAATAATAGTCATAATCACTGTTATTAGTAGCACAAAGTGTATAAGAGAATGTGGTGTCAAGGGTGGAACTCTTTTGTTTTGCTGTTTTTTTACCACACTCAGACACATTTTTTTTACATTTCAAAGCCGTTTTTGATACTAAAATCGTTCTTTTAGGGGGATGGGACATCGCATGCTGTGACGTCACTTAAATCTAAAATTAGCCAAATACACTGACGTCATCCGAGGTCATCAAGATGGCAGCGTTTGACAACTAGCCTGTTTTCTCATAAGAGTCAATGCTAATATTTTCGGAATTCATTTAAATTTGAGAGCGTGTCAACTGTGTTTTTATAGTTTGGTAAGTTTGTTACAGTTTCTAGACTGTGTAGATATCTGTAAAACGCACCATAACGTTTGAATATGCTTAAAAAATAATGTTTTCCAATGTGATGTACAGGTTAACTTCGCTGCATCTTATATTATTTGTTTTGCAAATTAATTCTTTGTTAATGTACATCAATGTTTTTTAAATACACTAGCATCTTAATATTATAATATTTTGTATTTTAGGAGAAAATGCCTAAATTTTGTGCTGTTGTAGGTTGTGCGAATCGAAGCACCAGAAATGCGGACAAATTTTATTTTCCTTTCCCAGCAATTAGCAACAATAAAGGTAAATATATACAGGATGGGGAAAAAGGCGGAAGCTTTGGTTAAAAGCCTTGAAACGAGTGGATTTAACGAAGCCAAAGTAAAGTATTCCTATGTTTGTTCAGATCATTTTATTTTGGTACAGTAACTACCTATTAGATTTACAGTTTTTAATAAATTACTACATTGGTGCTCTTTTAGGTAAACCTGCAGATTTGTCGGATGTGGACCATCCTGATTATGTTCCATCACAAAATTTAGGATATCAAAATAAATCCACTCGTAATACTTGTAATGTTGAAAGACAAAAATAGAGAAAACTGAATAAATGCCTGTAGACTTTTGAATGCACAAATTTCATTGTGGGTTATTTTACTTATTCCAAAAATAAAAAAGTTTAGAATGGTATTCATTGTTATGGTAGGGACATCGTCTAAACACAAATTAAAATCACTTGCACTCATTATATAAGGATCTACGCGGTTTAAATTGTTTAACTTTTGTACATATCTGCTTTTCTCTTTGACGGAAAGACATCGTGCATAATCACTTAAATTATCCATACTTTAAAAACAAATTACACACCTTCACTTAAAGCCGTCACATTAACCTCAAACGAAAATATTAATTTCCGATTTACCGCTTAAAACACACGAATGTATTTTGGGTGACGAGGAATTCAGACCAAAACAGCGTTCTGTATTTTTATTTTTATTATGTATTTTTAAACTCAAATCGCCAAAAAAGCACCCTGATACACAGAAAAGATATGAAAGAAGCTATTCACGTGTTTATTTTCTAGATAAATACCCACACTTTTAAATAAAATGCGAAAATGTTAACATTGTCACTTACGGAGTTTCACAGCGCTTGTCAAACGCTGAGTTCCCGCCACAGCGTGACGTCACGTGTTATTGGCTAATTAAAAAATGCTTACATCATTTAAAATCTGTTTATAACTGTTTTACACAACAAATTTGTGATGACACATAAAAATGAATTATTTAGGAAATGCGAGTATAACTCCTAAAATTAAAGTTCGTTATGTTTTTTTGTTGACTTCGACTTTAACTTCTGTAAAATCGAGGTACGATTTAAAACGATAAGAAAACGTGATATATGTATTTAGTATAATATTAAGTTTTATTTACCAACAGATGTATTCATATTAGTGTTAGCCATTAGTGAAAATATATAGGCTGTCACACAGTGCGGTCCTTGATATCTCATGAATTATTAGAAATAGAAAAAAAGTCAGAGACCAAAGTCGCACTGTTTTTTCGGTACCATACACTAAATTTATTTTCAACTATACAAAGAATTCTGTTTCTGAAACGTGTACATACAGCTTGTTTTTTTTTAAATAGAACACTCTATAAGGGTGTCTGAAAAGTGGCGGATTAACTCTTCAGTACGTTATGTACGGGGGTTTCGGGAGTCCCAAAAAAATAATAAAAATTAGGAACACTGTACGCACCTAATGCGTGAATACCTCCGGCTTACTTTCTGATTTCTTAGTAACGATAGTGACTGAAATCCACCTTTTATTTTTTTAGGATATTAAATATAAACTGATTTTAGCAGCTACTATATCATTTGCCAAAATCGATTTTATTTTAGCAGGTACTAACACCGCCCACCCACCCTTTATTTTTTTAGAGAGATCTCATTTGCCAAAATCAGCCTTATTTTGGCAGCTATTGCCCCGTCCACCCACCCTCTATTTCCTTAGAGGGTATGTCGTTTGCCAAAATCAGTTTTATCTTAGCAGATACTAGCCTCGCCCACCCATCCTCTCTTTCCTTAAAAGGTATCTCATTAGCCAAAATAAGCCTTATCTTAGCAGCTACTGCCCCGCCCATCCACCCTCTTTTTTCTTAGAGGGTATGTCATTTGCCAAAGTCAGTCTAATCTCAACAGCTACTAGCCCCACCCACCCACCCTCTGTTTTCTTTAGAAGGTATGTCAGTTGTCAATATCGATTTAATTTTAGCAGGAGCTAACCCCACCCATCCGCCCTCATTTTCTTAGGAGGGATCTCATTTGCCAAAATCAGTCTCATCCTAGCAGCCCACCCATCCTCTCTTTTCTTAGTAGGTATTTCATTGGCCAAAATCAGTCTTATCTTAGTAGCTACTAGCTAGGATAAGACTGATTTTGGCAAATGAAATACCCTCTAAGAAAAGAGAGGGTGGGTGGGCGATGCTAGTACCTGTTAGGATAAGACCGATTGTGGCAAATCAGATCCATCTAAGAATTAAATAGATCGCGGGTGGGCGGGGTTAGTACTTGCTAATAAGGGACAGATTTTGGTGAACGACATACCTTCTAACGAAAGAGAGGGTGGGGGGGGGGTAGTTCCTGGTAAGAGTAATTTTGGCAAATGAGATAAGAAAAGAGAGGGCGGGTGATTAAATTATTATAAGAAATGACACTAGAGGCTTAGGATGTTTTTTCTATTGGTAACTTTGAAGGTTACTAGTTTAATTTAACTTAAATCCTTACAAGATATTAATGAAAGCACTTCCAAAGTCTCAAGATTGTTTTAAAATTTTCAAAAAAAAACAGGGCCCCAAAATTAACTCAGAACAATTTATAAAAAGAATCTCTATGGGCTCCCAAAATAATACACCACGGGCACCCAATAGTATATCGAATTAAAAAAAAAAACACTGCGGCACTCAAAACTTTTTCAAAAGATTTTTTCAACTTAATCTAGGAACAAAACACCATATGCCTTTAAATTTATTTGAAAATAAAACACCAGGGGACTTAAAATTAACTGTGAACATTTGATACGTAGGGTTTTGAAAACTTTGACAATTTTTGATACGTCAAACATTTTTAACTGCTGCAAATATTGTTGTCAAATGGACTTTTATCAAATTATTACAAAAAAAAACACAAGCATATCTTTGTACATTCTAACTGAAATAGTAATTAAACATTGTCATGGGTGGAAGAAATATTAACTAAAAATTTTATTAGTAGTTACTGTGATAATGAAAGTGTCATGAATCGTCAACAAAACATTAAATCAACCAGTCGCCCGATGACTCGATTACCTTATTATTGTCTTTGCCATTTCTATTGAAACACCACCTGTTGATTTTGCTTAAAATTTAGCAATTGGTGACAGCTTTCGGTTGATTGACAACGGCTTTTAGTTAGAAAATTGTCTGAGTATGAACGTTGCCAAATTTACGATTAACAAGTGGTGTTTCAATAGAAATGGCAAAGATCGGGAAATAAAAATTCAAGAAAACTGCAGTGACGTGGCAACGTCCCATTAAAATTTAAATAATAAACCAGGTGTACAAGTCTACAATAGGCCAGTCAGAATATGCAAAAATATATAGGCTGTTCCATTAAAAACCTAAGTCGCGTGTTTTGCATCGAAAATAGAATACTCTGCATAGTTGAAAATAATTTTAATGTATGTTTCTCAGAGAAGGATACGAATTTGTTTCAAACTTTTTTTTCTATTTCTAATAATTCTAAACCGATATTTTGTTCTTGTAAGTGAACGTATGATTTTATGTAGGTATATGTATAAAGAAACTTTTAATGATTTTGTATCGCTGAATAAGTGCGCCATTTTTTATTCACCCTGTATAAATATTATATATAGTTTTGTTACAATTTTTTTAACGCTCAATTAGGTAATACATGCTTGCCTAATAGTAAATGAATGAAATAAGAATGAAAGTATCCATATAGACATATTTTTACTGAAAATATTTAGCAGTGAAAAGTTCTAAAGAAACGCTGTGCTAAAGATATATAATATCAAGCATTTTAGTCACAAATATTGTAATCAATTATTCAATCTGCGGTTACAGTTAAAAAATTATCGTCAACTTGCAAAATAATAATAACATATGTAGTGATTACGTTCATTACATCCAGAATTGTGCTATTTCCAAGAGTGAAAAATCCTGCTGCATGAAACATATGATCAGACATATAAGTTACAAGATCTTCCAACTCGTGTGAGTAGATCATCAACCGATAATTATTATTTAGTTCCAACTTATATAAAAGAAATAGTAATTTCTTGGCTTCTTCTGAAATTCTACCGCATTCCAACATCAAGGCAGTAAGACCAACCTAAAACACACAATTTATTGAAAATTGTACTTAAAGTTGTAAAAACGTTACAGAAAATATAGACAGTTGAAAAACATCGGACGAAATACTTTCTTCGGATTTGTTTAATTCACTTTCCAGT